TCCAACTTACATCATTTACAGGTACAACGTTTTCTCTCCACTTTTTTTTTCTTCCTGTATTTATTTCTGTTATGTGCCGTTTTGTTTCTCTCTTCCTTACAAACTCTACTTAAAACATTCTTGTTCGTTCTTTCACACTTTGTATATCTCGACCATTTTGCTATCGCTTACGCCAGTAAATATGCTAGTAGTATCTACTTTTCTAACACCTTCAAACACTGTTTAAATTTTGGCTTTGCTACCGACATACTAATATGTTGTTGAGATAACTTTAATCTATGTAGAACTTTATTTATTGTTAACGTACTAACTGGATGCAATATTGTAGTAAAATGCTGAGAATTCCATTCTGTATCACAAGTACTGATTTGGAATAAAGCTTATGTTATGTTATGTTAAACATCTGTTGGATGGAGTTGCATAACTCTATCATTGCAGGATCCTTACTCGAAGTCTGCTTAGTCATCGAGCATATTTCGGGAACTGACCGTTTAGTTATTTCTAGAATCCTATCTGCAGTAATTGCTAAGTCCTCTATTACAGTACCCTGAAGTGTCACAAGTACGGTCTGTACAGACTGTGGCAGCTTGGTTAAGAAGAGTTCTCTAAACAGTCCTTCGTCGAACTGACTTTGGCCAACAACTTCTTTCATTCTTGTCAGCACGCTCACGGCTGACTGATCTCCTTACTCGATGTTACGAAATAATTCGTCCAAACGTTCTCGGTCCATGAGAACGTTTCTCCTGAGGAGGGATGCTTTGAGCAACTCGTACGAGTTACTTACCTCGGGACTGAACATCTGTGATGTTACGTACTTGCTGAATTCCCGCGGTAGGGCGTGAATAACTGCAAGTGACTGTGAACGTTGATCGGTTATCCCATGCTCACAAAAATCTGCTTCAGCTAGCAGAAACCACGTTTCAGCATTATCTGGCCAGTATGGTACGAGCTGAATGGTTTTAGGAGTTGAGCGGATACGAATGACCTTGGGACTAAGATCACTCATGATGAAAAAAATGTAGAATAATATATGGTACAAGAACAAATACAAAATGGAACGAACTCACCGGGGTTATCTGCGGATTTGTGGTGGATGAAGTTCGCGGTTGGGCTTACCAGTTTAGAGGGTGACGGAATTATCTTACACAGCCTCTAAATTATTCTCGCGTACCGAAAACAAAGCAAAAGCCAATATTTGATCGTCCAAACTAAGTAATATATTTCGGGACCAAAACAAACCTTCAGACGAACGCTTAGCTAGCTAGTGATCGTGCACGTGACACGACGGGGTACCAAATGGCGGGGATGCTTGACCGGAAGCCTTCAGCTAAACAAGTCGGCTTAAACAGTGGTGGTCAGCATCCAATGAGTGATTGCTGTGGCCAATAATTTTGGGGAATTTTTACCGCTAACAATCCTCAAGCCGATAACGTTTCAATAATACCGATATACTGCGTATCATAATGATGTCCACTTTTGGTTTTAATACAATTGTTTTCAAGCCAGTTGTCTTTATTACATGCCTGTTTGTCCATTTGGTGCACACCCGCACCCTACAGAGAATATGAGTAGATTAATTCGAATCGAATTCATGGAGAGCTTTAAAATATTAGGTTTAATGGAATATAATGAGGATCAGGTAAAGACGTTATTAGAAAATGAATGAGATAGGACATCGTGAAGTGGTATTTAAAGATCTGACGATGGATAGCAAGTTAATTTATAAGATTCCTCAAGAATCTGTGCAGAGCCCAAGTGGTCGCATCTCAACTAAAGGCTGAGCGAACGGTATATATTTAAAGGCAGAAGCATGACCTGTCTAGGCGTTCATTATTATCTTTTTTAAGATAAAGCTCTAAGCCCTCATAAAAATCAGAATAATCTCGAGCCTTTAAATTGCATATTGCTGTTCCTGCAGAATGGGGTGATTCACCTTAGCGACCACCACCACATCTACTGATCGGCTAGCACTTTTTCAAAAGTTTAAGTTTTCCGACTATTGTGCAAGCAATCAGTACAGGTTCGTATAAATGTTGAATTATAAATCCCTCACTAAGGTCACCATCAAGGCTGAGCGCCAATCCAAACCTTGTTCCGTTTCTTGCTGACAACAATGATCGACCAGCGAACGGCGTATATTTGGGTGAGTACTACGCTACCACGTGATTGAACGCTGTTTGGGGAGGAGCAGGACGTCCCGTGAAGCTGCAAAATGGCATAAAATACAATTATGGATAATAAGTTATTGGAAGCACATTTACAAGATGTATACAAGAGGGAGGTGGAGACTCCTCGAAATGATTGTATACATTTGCAATGTTTAATGCCAACCATATCGATCTACGCACGGAAACTATGACGTTTTCAATGGGAATATAGCTTTGTTTAAACATTGGTTTTGTTGTGTTTTTAATCAAAGCAACCAGACTTTGGGCAGGCAACAAATGTGAACAAAGAGCAAGTTTTAGCTTTGATAGAGGGCTAGGTAGTCAAGGTAAAATAGAGTGTAATAGTGTGTAATTAGAAGGATCATCTTGAGGTAGATAAGTAATATTTCAGTAGGAAGTGAATTCGAAGATGTGAAAAGTTAGAACCCGTAGGACCAGCTGACCATTATGATAATAATAATATATTTCTTCCTGTTTATGCAGGATGTCTCACGAGTTTCTGTAGGGCCAGTTGGGTAGCATCTTGACAAGAAGCTGAACAGGCTTGTAGGCGGCAAGAGCAAAAATATTTTTTAAGATGGGGCTGGCTCTTCAGATTGTTAACTGTAAAACAGTAATCAACTGCGTTCACCCAGGCTATAGCCAAAGGCATACGGAGTTAGTGAGTGGCTTTCATATTGTCACCAGTAAAAGTCGAAACCCTAGTGCAGTGGGAACGAATGCCATCCGGGATGACGTCAGCAAGGTCCAACCCAAAGGGAAGGATGGTCACAGTTATCCGATGCTACTCAATGCTACAAAAACGTGGAACAAAGAAGAAGTAGTTTTATAGACTACTACAAGCGGTAATGGGCAACATCACAAATGATGACATCGAAATCCCCAAAGGCGATATCAATGTGAGTCGAAATGGGAGCAGATAATAAAAGAAGAGGACGCAACACGGGTCGAGGGGCTCTCGGAGAAATGAATGAGAAAGCAGAATTATTCGGGGAATTTCGAGCTTTCACTGGTTTGTGGATCAGAGGGAGCGTGCACCAACACACGGGTATACACAGAAAACATGGATTTCGCCTGACGGACATACCACAAATCAGATGGACTTCATGTCAATGCTGCTCAAGGACGTGAAGACGCAGCCAGCCTGTTAGACATAGATTCGAGAAAGGGAGGATATGCGGGCTCAAACCATTTAGCGCTAGAGACCTCAAGGCCGAATAAAGCCTTCAAAGAAGCTGAGAATATACCATAATTCATGTTTAACATTCAGGAAAAGAAGAATGAATGTACGAAAGACACTTTCACTGCTAACATCTGGGCAGAGCTGAAGACCATATGTAGCATCACAGAGGAAATGTATAACGAAGAATACTGAAACTCGCTCAAAGTGGTGCTGAAAGAAGCCTTTGAAGCTATCTTGGGAACAGGGAAGAATTTGGCTGGCCCTTGGTCTTTGATCATTTGAAGAGCATACGTTTTCCCGGGCATATTTTTTGCTATCTTCTAAAAAGACATACTGACTGGCTGGGATCCTGAAGGCATCCACCTGCCGGCGTCATTTCGCTTGCCCGATTATCGTGGAAAACAATTTGATTTTTCGCTCTGCTTTGAAGTTTCTCCAGCGAATAGGTTGATTTTTCGCGAGCGTCAAAACCAACTCTCCCTTTCCTTCAGGTCTTAGCACTGTCTAGGAAATTAGAAGTTCATGGCTACATATGCAGAAACTGTTAACATCGTAAGGGCCACACAGCCGTCGACTCTGTGTCCTACTCCTTAGGAAGTATTTGTTTTCCCTGCTAATCAGTGAAATACTGCACACAGCTTACAAATATATTCTCACACAGTCTCCTGACTTCTCAGAGCCAAAACTATCTGCTGTGAATTCAAACGTGCCGGACTTAATTTAACTCCACGCCCGATAAGTTTATTTCAAATACCAAAGAGCGACGTGGCATTAATAACTGGATTACGTTTCGAGCGTGAATTACTGCTCATAATCATATCAGTCATAGCTTTGAACCTGTCCATGTGACTTCCATTTTCTTAAGACATGGTCTGGCCTCCTGCTTGCATCATTCAATATCAAATACTATACAAACCGTATATTGTGTTTTAGACGTCAGTAGGCTGTGAATATGAGGCACACTACTTTCATTTTATGCCTACCAGCAGTTGTAATTTTGCGTCATTTTCCAGTACACTACAGCATTAAATTTATTTGGTGTGTAATGAATGATGACAAAGGGTGGCACGAGGATTATGTGGTATTTTTCTCCCTGTGAAATACACTTATTTGATGCACACTGGAAAAACCAGCTAACCAGATCACAATGAGCTCCAAGCTAACTGGAAAGCATGCCGTGTAGGCAGAATCAAACAGGATGCCATGCGATATAGGGAGGGTGCTTGTTGAAGTACACTCAACCTAGTCGGCGGAACCAAACGGTGAAGGCCATCAACCAATTTTGAGTGTGGCAGAACTTTAGGCAGCTATTCATATGAAAATATTTACCGCCGGAGGCACAATATAGCTCTTGAATAACAGGTGAGGCTGAAAAGTTTCTGATTTTTCCCGGGATTTTCGTCCATACGCACTCAGAATCCTTTGTTACCTCATGTTAGACTCAGGCGTTGACTTGTGTTCATTATGGCAAACACAATTTTAAACCTGAATATAATTATGAAAATTGCGAATAGATCGATTCGATCATCAAAGTTTCTTTTTTTAAATTAATTACGGATCAAGTACACTTGGGCTGGTCAAGGTCAGACGAACAGCTGTAGGATCATCCCCGAGGCAGCGGCCCTAATGTCATAGTGCACGGTCTAGATATGGGCAACTGCCTAAGGTGTAGAAATATTGAATCATCAGTCGATGTGAGGAATAACGATGCGCAGCGTAGAGCAGAGGGTGAATCACGTCGAAGTCGTTTACCCCCATATTTTGTAAGTTCTTTGTTTTATAATTAAGTATTCCCATCTTCTGTGGTTAGCTGCAAGAATGGAAATGCTTATTAACACCATTTTGTTTATTGGTCTGATTTGGAAAAGTTAATGACAGAATAAGTGGCAACCCATGATCTCATTTCCCTATTCCACACCCCAATATGCATACGTCCTTTGCTCTTACCAGTGCACCCTCTGGAATCATAGAGTGAAATTGCAACTCAGTATTGAAATGGGTAGTCTTTTCCTAGTTCCGATGTTTTGCCTGATTGATAAGAATTCCACGACTAACTGTCTAGGCCTGGAGAAACTATAGTTTCCTGGTGGAAAAATATGTACTGCTTACTATGAGGGTTATCTGTACTCAGAAGAATTATATCAAAATTATTTTAGATCCATGTGAATTTTTTAGAACTCTTGAGTTTCAAGGGAAGGGGCTCGGTATTTCATCGATCCTCTCAGCATTTTGAGGACAAAAACAAGGTTGTGTTTTGTAGAAAATCCAAAAGATTCAGGAAGTTTGGACAAGTATCAGTGTTTGTCTTTGAGCCTTACAGCTCTCTGGCCATAGAACATCAATGATGCAGTTTCATTAATTCAATCAGATACCACTTCCATTTGGCGGTTTAATGCTTCTCAATCCTATGGGTCAAGTTAGCCTCAGAATCTATCATTCACCTCAATGACTTTTGGGGAAGAAAGGTAGCCTGTCCTCACTTAGTTAATGTGAAATATCCTTCTGTTTTCGTCCGATTGGTGCTCATTGAAATGCATCAGACTTACATGGAGGTGCGCACAAGGTTTTTAAAGATAATTCACTGTAAGAGCGTTAGTTCAGTTGCTCTTTTTGCCGTATCTAACTGTTGTGTCCTTGCTGAGGTGTCTGCTGACACTTATTCGGCTTGTTTCACTTTTTTGAGGTGGACTATTTAATAGATTACTGTATTGTGTATTTTATTGCTGTTATTACAGTTGAAGCCCTTCTATCCTGTCTGATCAAATAGGTTGGACAAACGTGGTTAAGTATAACTTGTCTTAGTGAGCGTAGATATAACTGAAATTACCCTGAGTTTGTAAAGTGCAGTGTTACCCTACCATCCAAAGTATGTGAGTTTATCGCATGGACAATGTGTTGCAATAAAGTTATCTTGAAAACATGAGTAAAAATCACTAAAATAGATATATTTTCCCCGGATTTCACTGTTTTAAGTCGTACGGAAAGAAACTATCACTCTTTTGATGTTGAAACTACCTTCCCATTGAATATATAAGATTTGTGACTGTCTGTTGTTTGTCGATAACTTTGGATGCAGGAGTGACGTGGTGTTTCTTCCAACAAAATTATGCCTCCTATTAAAGGTTGTGCAATAATCTCCTTTTCTGTTTAACCGTAGAATGTTATTTTACGAAAATGGAACAAGTAACCGGAGGAAAAAGTGGATATGACAAACTCTTCATCTAAATTCGCTACTTACATGATTATTTTATTTTATTCTACGTAAAAACAAACAACATAGAGACAGTGTTAAATAATAATTAAGTATAACGAGTCTGTGTGATTATGAAGAAATGATAAGACGCATTAATTTTGTTTGCTTTTAAAGCGAAACATTGATAGCACTCATTGCAGTTAATTGTAATAAATCTTATCTAACTATAATCCAATTAAGTTAAAGTTAAATTTGTGTGTAGTAATAGTACTCCAATACTTTAAGCTGTGCGAGTCATCACGAAAACCTTTTCACACCGGCGTTGATTTTTTGATGAAGAACGGTGCAATATGACATAAGATAAGCCGCCTTTTGCAAAGACAACATTTAAATGTTAAGATATGTACTATCGTTTTGATTTTTCCCACTCTGATCACTATGTGCAGATTAGTGATGCCGTCACATCTCATACAAAATACGTCTCAAACCTGGTACATGACAATTCCCTCCCAGGTAACTGAGTTTTAACCTCCAACCTTACTTTATTTTGCGGATCATGGAATGTTTAACCACATTTATTTTTATGTACTAGTCTCAGGGAACGGTGAGTTTTACCGTAAGTTTGTTGAGGTTACCTAGGTTAAGGCGCTAGATTATGTGGTGCTCAAAAGAAACAAACACGAGAAAATCCGATGGGCTTTAGACCAAGAAAAGGACGTATTATTCATATCTTCGCCCTTCGACAGGTTCTGGAACATAGGCATACTTATTGGAGTCCAACAGTTGTCATATTTCTTAAATTATTAAAGCGGCATTTGATTCCTTCAGGAAGGAATTTGCGAGAGAATACATCTCACTGATCAAGGTACTCTACTCGAATTCATGTAGCCAGGTAAGAGCTTATAGAGTTGCCGTTCAAAGTGGTGGCATCCAATGGTGTTCGTCAGGGAAGCCCATTGTCACCGTTTCCGTTTAATTTCATCGATTTCTAGCTTAAAGGTGGGGAGTAAAGTGGTAGAGCGTATTGATCACTTCATTTATTCGGGAAGTTGCGTCAGCCAGCTAAAGCGTGTTGATCACTGACGAGAACTCAGCACAGATACAAAAGTTTGGTTTGCCACTTGCCAACTTACTCTATCTCTGGCGTAGACGTGATATCTGGCTGTCGGCAGAAAGGCGAGTATGCTGCTCAGCAGTTTTCTCCGTCCTCGTTTATGGTCTTGAGGCATGGCCATTGAAAGTAGAAAACATGAAAAGGCTAGCTGTCTGTGATCACAGGTGTCTGCCGTCTATCTCATGTGATAGTTCGTGTGATAGGGTGGGTAATATTGAGGTTAGGCGTCACGTGTTACGTATGCCTAGTCTAGTTATCGCCTTCCTCGACGGGGAGTGCTAGGTGACATATGATTAGGTTGGGAAATAGCTAGTGCTGATCAAACGAAAATATGGAAACTATCAGTGAAATCCATAACAGTTATTTATGCCACGTAGGGAGGTGTAAACTTCTGGTTGGTTAAGATTCTCGGGATGATAAGAACCAATGCCGTCTGAAGGCAATTGGTGATATGGCTGAAAATCCTTCTCAATGGTTGGCGCAGATACATTTACTCTTTGTGATTTATCTGCCATATCCAATAAAACTCTATTGTTCTTCCTTATTACTATTGTTGTCCCCTCAAAGTGTCTTTCGATTCTGTCCTTACTGTCTTATCTTGCATTGTGTGCTATTTGGAGGGAGAGTGGTAACTCGAACTAGTAAACACATCTGTGAAAAGTTATATGTTGAAGCTAGTCAGCTATTCAGTCATATTATTATTATATTATTATTCCTAGAGGAACATAGGGCTTCTGTCGCGCGTCTCCATCGCGTTCGGTTTTCTACCAACTTTTTCACCCCGCTCCAAGTCTCCCACACGCTTCCATCTCCCCTTCACATGACCTCCTCCAAGTCACTCTTGGACGATGAACTCGCCGCCTCCCTTTTGGGTTCCACTCGAGCAATGGCTAGACTAGCGATGTCACTTGATGGTTTCCTCAGCCTATGGCTAATCCATCTCCATATCTTCCTGGATATATGTTGCACAATCAGTTTCTGGTTGGTTCGCTCACTGCCAGAGAACCCTGTTGGTAATCTTTTCTGGCCGGCCATCTGATCTTGAGTCCTACTGAGCGAAGACAGCTGTTAATGAAGGTCTGAAGTTTGTTTGAGATGCTCTTCATGACGCATCAAGTCTCTGATCCGTATAGTGAGTAGCACTGACTGACTTCACATTGGAGTTGAAAATCCGGATCTTATTATTGATGCTGAGTGCTGTTGACCTCCACATAGACTTAAGAGTAATGAAAGCTTGTCTTGCTTTTCCGATTCTGGCTTTGATATCCTCGTCAGTTCCATCGGCCTGTAGTTGAAACGATGCTTCCCATGTGGGTAGGTAAAGGAGGTTGTTTCTTTCAGGTTCCTCCCATTTGTGCTGGCTGATTGTTGTTGTTGCTGTTGGTGTTGGCCAGGAATCTTCATCAGCTACCTCTGTTTTCTCTATGTTCACCTGGAGGAAGTCCAATCTTCTCTGGATGCTTCTTCTGTCAACTTGTTGCTTTTCACTTACATATCTTCCAATTTGTGGGAAATCAGACATATATCATCGGCGAAGTCCAGATCCTCCAAGTTTCTTTTTGTGTGAGTCCATTTTATACCTGTTTCCTCATTGCCCTTTGTCTGTCGCATTATTCAGTCATAATATAGTGAGTATTAATGGGATCAGTTGTAGTGTTAGGTTAAGAGTTCAAGTCAAGCGATTACGTTGTGAATCTACATTCATTAAGACGGCTAGGTCGTGTGTTACACATCTTGAGCCATAGTTTTTCTCGACACTCAATGTTAGATAATGTAGGTTTAAGTTGGAAAAAAGTTAGTAATTTGGAATTGATAGTGTTCTCTGAGCTCCTTGGTTTAATTGCGGAGCTTTCATCGTCTTTCTGGACGACATCTTCAGCGCAGTATTTAGGATAAAGTGAAATGATTTAAATTTCTTCATGAGTCTCCCGGTAACCATCTTTAGATATTTATTGACCGTTTTCTATTGTCAGACTAGTATATAACATCACTCTATGAAGTGCTTGTCTAGTAGTTTGAACCTGATGGTGAGGTGGATATAGACTGCCTGACAAGGGTGATCAAGACGCTAAGAGACAGCGACTGTAAACATTTGGTGACATGGTTCAAATTCTTGTCAATAATTAAAGTGCTTCAACCTTTTATGATCTGCTATATATTCGTTAAGTCTTCATAATTCTCAATGTAATTATTATTTCTTCCGTTTATCATAGTTGCTTTTCATTTCTTTTCTCTAGCCCCTGTATGTTTTTATGAAGTATGACAACGTTAACTGTCACACCTTGGAAAGTTCACTACACGTGTTTGTATGTGTTCTGAAACCATAGTTTAGGGATTTAAGGCGTTACTGTTAAATTCCATGTGACATCTTTGTACTTATCCACTGCATGATAGGCGTGCATAACAGTGAAGTAACCGAAGGTGTGAATAGTTTAATTATTATTTCCTTGTGTATTTTGTATTCTGGTTTTATACAACATTTGCTTCACTTATTTGGGAAGTACCATCAGCCCCAACGGGTTGATCTCTGACGAAATCTCAGCTGAGTACGGATACAGAGGGCTAGTTTCGCATATGCCTGTCAGTTTACACCGTCTCTGGCGTAGACGTGATATCCGATTGAGTGTTGACCAAAGGGCGGGTGTACTGCTCATCAGTCCGCTCCGTCCTCCTTTATGGTCAGCTGTGAGACCTGGCCATTGAGAGTGGAAGATATGAAAAGCCTGGTTAGCTGTCTTTGATCAGAGGTGCCTGCGTTCTATCTCCCGTGTGAAGTGGCACGTGTAATAAGGTGAGCAATATTGAGGTTAGGCGTCGAGTTCTAGGTAAACAGGGGAAATCAATCGATGAGGCTGTGAAATTACATCGAGTGAGATGGTTAGGACATGTGTTACGTATGCCTAGTCATCGCCTTCCTCGGCTGATGGGCAATGTTAGCTGATACACGGTCAGGCTAGAAAAGACCTAATGGCGGTCAAACAAAAACATGTCACCAGTAAATGAAATCTACAACAGTTATTCAAAGCTAGTCACGTAGGAAGGTGTAGACTTCCTGACTGGTTGGGGTCATCGGGACGGTAAAAACCAATGGTTGGAAACTATTGGTGACATGGCTCAAAATCGTTTTCAATGGCTGGCGCAGACAGATGCATTCACCCCTTGTGACTTATAATTTCCAATGAAACTGTTTCGTTCTTCGTTACTACTATTCCTTTGTCTCACACCTCTGTTTACTGTCTCTATTATGCATTTCTTGTAGTTTCTTCTGTTGCTTTTTGTGCTACATGGAGTGTGGCGACTTGAACTTCCGCACATATGTGCAAAGTTCTGTGTCGAAAACAGACAGACAGAGACAACATGTTTTCATTTAAAAAAATGACTTCATTTTCATAATTATCTCTTTTATTGCTAGGAGAATGATCCTATTATGCATCCGACTCCTGGTGTCTCACGACCAATGTCTCAGTTAACTGAAGAAGAACAAGTGAGAATAGCCACTCGAATGGGTTTGATTTCCACACTGCCACTATTTAAATTTGATGAATCAAAAAGGGAAAAGTTGTCTGAGTAAGTTAATTTTCTGTATATGTAGATGTGCATATATATTAATAATTCTTTGTTGAGGTTTAATTATAGATAATCAATTAGTGTTTCTATATTTGGCAAATTGTTTATGTTACACTCAACCTTTGTTTTGCTTGTTTTTATTCATTATTTCTTCTGATGTGATACCTTGTATAACTCTTTGTGTCCTATCCGATTACATCATCCTTTCTTTTAACCCTCCCTCTAGTTTTGCTCCAACGTGATTCAGTTTTTTCTTGTTTCCTTTTTGTCTCTATGATTGACTTAAACTCCCAGCAGTGTTACACAACTAATTATTTACTTATGAAAAGTAATTTTTGAGCATTGTTCAATAATTTTGTGTCTCTGTTAACTAGAAATTGTGTAATTCTGACAATTATGTTAAAATGTCTCTGTAGATATATATAATTAACTTTTAGGTTGTACGCAGCTGAAGAGTAAGAAACCGATGATATAAATGATGGCCTCATTTTATTCTGCAAAAACATTTACTTAGTTTAAAAGAGTGATTTAAATACTTAATTCCTTTTTCACTCCTTATTCACTGTATTTTGACCCGTGACCGAAAGTAGCTGTGGAAATATGATACCTTTCGGTTGTAATATTCACGGATGCATACAGCTCATTTCATGATTTCGTTGGAAAGAAGACTCTTCTTCTCTGCAACTCTCTCTATTTCTTCTATTCTGGTTGAATAGGTATAGTTTGGTGTTTTAACCTTCTTAAACTCATGTAAGTCATAACGAAAAAAAATACTTGCTGAAAGTCAGTCACAAAGCCCTTGTAAATAATATTGATGTATCATTTATGCAAGTGTACAACTTGGGAACTGTGGTACAATGTAATTCCATATTAGATAAATTTATTTTAAATGTCACACAGTGATGCAGCATCAACAACTGGGTGATGTTTTGAGCCTATATTCCTTTGGTTTAGTCTTACGGCTTCACAGTGCGTCGGTTGCACAGTGGTTAGGCCTCTTGCCGACCATGCACATGGTCCGGAGTTCCAGCCTCTGCCGACGCACACCTGATATCTATGGTCGACCTGCAAAACTTGGGCTACCGATATCCATGCTGAAAATTCCATACTTGTACCAAAAATATAGTGTGGAATCAAGCTGTAGTCAAAATTATATATATATATATAATTCTCTCTCCATCCTCCATTGGTTTGCTTGTTCCCACTTTCCATATCTTTAGTATAGACTTTATGTCATTTTGACTGCACGTGTGCAGTGTTGAATCGATAAGCAAAGACTCACCGCCACCACCTCCACCTAACTGTACGTTTCTTTGATACTTTCACCGTGTCCTACTCTATTTTGTAATTGCGTGCAAGTGACTGCAATGCAATGGTTGAGTTTTTTCTAAGTTATTTAACTTAGCAATATCAATTATTTTAAGTGTAGCTAAATTTTTTAAGTTCTCTACCCCGAAGCCTCACGCCGATCTCGATCTTCCTTTCTGTATTGATGAATCAGTTTAGATTTATTTGAATTTCGACTTATTTTCTTATCTTCGAATATTGGTTTTGTAGGGATTTTGTTTGATTGGATGGAGGATTTCATCATGAGCTGACATCAGTTAGAGAACCAGGGATTACTGCACAGCTGTTTCGTCCTAGTTTGAAACTCTTCAGCAGTAAATACCCACCACTGGCAGGATTCGAACCGAGGACCTTCTGGTTACAAGGCTAGCGAGCTCGTAGACCATTCGTCAGCCACTGGGACCCAATTCAATGACCAGTCAGTTCATGAATTCTAACTCCTGCCAATTTATGACATAGCGCGACCATTTCGCAATGTCTTCCTCGATGGTTTACTGTCACACCTTTTAACCTGGTGTACACTACTGGTCACGGCTTCCCACTAGAATTTCAGGTCACTGTCTGAATAGGGCCCCAGTCGCTAGTGAGCATCATATTAATTTTCTTGTGTTCAACTGAGTAAACTCTGTTTCGTCATCTTTGACACAGTGCGTCAGTGGCACAACGGTTATGCATCTCCCCGATCATGCACATGGTTCGGGGTTTCGATCTCCTGCCGACGCACACCTGATATCTTTGGTTGGCCTGTAAAATTTGGGCTACTGATATCACATGCTAAAAATTCCATACCTGTACCAAAAATACAGGGTGGAATCAAGCTGTAATCAAAAATAAAAAAATAAAATTTTTATGTTCCAATAATCTAGTTGACCTCTATCTTCTAGTAGGATTGATGTAATTGACCTCACTCACAGTCATTACATGGTATTTGGTAAATTATATTATTTTTCTTCATTGGATATATTGGGGGGGGGTATCCTTAAGCCCACAAAGTTTATCTCTGAGAAAGTTGGTTGGTTTAAATGCTACCCTAATTCCAGGGTCTGAGAATCTTACGTGAGGCCTCTGACGTTCCTTCTTTATACGGCGATACCACCGACACTTTGAATTCTACATTAGTTTTGTGATTTTCACTGCTAATCTTATTTTTTCATGGTTCTTCATACGTTTCTGAATAAAGTCTGGTGGGTAGTGTGTTATTCACTAAAATAATATTTTCTTTGTTTGTTTGATTTCGTTATTTAAGCCTTCTGCCCTACTAGTTAAGCTCCTGGGCTGATTATGTAGACATTTCACTAAACCTACCGAGCTTTACCGATTCTGGATGGGATTAGTTATCGTCTAAGTATTTTACATTAGAGTGTGTGTGGGGCTTCCTATAAATGCTAGTGACATCTAACCTACCACCATCTTGTTTTCGTTTTATTCTACAGTCCTAGCATAGCCAACTCACACTGATCGTTTTCTAACTCAGAAGAGTCCAAATTAGGTTCCGTCTACTATTGAGGGATGTGTTCACATTTCAACACAGTGAATGTGTCATCCACATACCTCCAGCATAATCTAGAAGCAGGATTAAACATTCTAAAAGCTTTATGTTTCCACATGTCCATAAATATGTCTGCAATTACTATTGGGGATATTAGTGATCCTATTACCACTCCATTCGTTTGTTTACACATATATATTTAGTTTATTATGAAACGATTAATACGGCATCAGTGTGTGATATATGAAGTATTTTTATTCTTTTATATTCCCAGTGGAACATAGACCTTCAAGTTAGAGCTTTGAAGTTTCGGTAGCAATGGTGTTTATTTTTTACTAGATTAGGTTGCTAGCATCTCATGTTCAACCTTTCCTCTTTACCAGTCTTATTATTGACTTAGCGAGGTAAAGAGGAGTTCATCGGTTAGGGATCGAACCCCGGACCAAATGAGGCGTAATACGTGAGCATTCTACTACTTTGCCACCGATGCACTTATTAAATATGGAATGTTAATGTATGACAAGTGTCTTTTTGTTTGCTTAGCAGATCCTAAATGTAATAATAAATTAACAATTGTGACTTTTAAAACCCCATATTATTTTATAGTCATTTTGCCCTTTACTAACTACGTGGTTTTGAAATGAAATCATATGCCCTGAGCTTTTTCTTTCAAAGCACGTGATCATTCTATTATTACGTTGCATTAAACTTCCTTTCAGCTGATTCATTCTCCAAGGGGATTCGTGTGATTATTCTGCACGTTTTGGGTTTAGACAGTGGCTAGGCAAAAGAGAAAAGTAGAAGGAACAGTGGAATCAATAATATTTGATATCTATTTCTTGACACATTACTGTATAAGGTACTTGTCTTTTTTTCCCTAACCCTGGGACTGGTTGGGTGTGTTAGGTCACCACCAATTGGTACATCATGACTGTCTGGTTAGGGTCCGAAAGATAGTTCGAATTGGTGGCTCCTAATGTTATCATATATAGTGAAGAATCACAGTCAATGGCGAACATGCTGCGATTGTCTTCTTTCTTTCCCTAGTGAGAGTGAATAACATAATGAGGTGATAAATGTTGAATGATTTTGGCAAAGATGCTTGTTTGCTTTCTGGATGACATCCTTTGTTCATCCTGGCTCCAATTTCTTTGCATATTGTTGTTTTATATCTCTTGGTGTTCATGTCGTGACAAGTTTGGGTTTTAAATAAAAAATAAGAAGGTTGCGGTGTTGTTCAATGGTGCAGGCACTTAACTTTCGAGCATCATATCGTGGGTTTGAACGCCACTCCACTTACCGAAGGTTTGTACGGCCACTTTGTATCTCACTGTTTATCATTATTGTTCCCGTGGATCCCTTGGGGGGAACGTAAGGCTTCAATAGCACATCTCCACTTTGTCCTACTCTATGCGTCCCCCTTTAATTGGTCCAACAATTGACCATAGTTTCTCATCTCCTCCTCCTCGCACGGCTTCTTCTATGTCACTGTTGGACACACACCCCATTCATCGTTTCTCATTCGAGTTCCACTCGAGCTATGACGTTCTCCTCAGTGGCATGTGTCTAGTCCATCTCCATTTTCTTCTATATATTTTCTGAGTCATAGATTCTTGGTTGGTTCTTTTTGGCAGAGTTTCTTATTATTGCGTCGATGGCGCAGTGGTTAGGACTCTCGCCGACCATGAACATGGTCCGAGGTGCGATCACCTGCCAACGCACACCTGATAACTATGGTCGGCCTGCAAAATTTGGCCTACCGATATCCATGCTGAAAATTCCATACTTGTACCAAAAATACAGTGTGGAGTCAATCTGTAATCAAAAATAAAATAAAAATGAATTACGATTTATTTCTGGCCATTTGATCTTCAATATGGAGTCAGCGATAGCAGTTGTTGATAAAGGTCTGTAGTCTGTTGGAAATGGTTTTCGTGACTTGCACAGCAAGTTTCTGACTCATATGATAAATTTTTAGCGTGTTTCGTTCCGAAATCCTTTGTCCTTCGTACAGGATTTACATGTAAAGTACCAATCTGAAGTTTATCTTCATTGCGTTTGAAGAATTGCACATCGTTTACTCGGAAGCAAGTTAAATCAGCGCGCAATTTCATGTATAAGTCATTTAATATAACTGTACGATTAAAACAATGATAAACCCAAA